CTTAACACAACAAGAGTCAGAATAAAATTCAAAAAAATAGTGATTATCACGGGTAAATTTTTGAACAGATAACAGAGGCTTAGTAAGAGAAGGAGCATGCAAGACACGATTTAAATAAAGAGGACGAGAAAACGATGGCAAAACAGATTGACCAACATGCTGAGTAGGTAAAGCATCTCCATTACCAACTAAAATATGATCCGTACCAGTATAATCATTGGAGATACTGAGAGAGGACAAATCTGGCGTGACATGATCGGTAGCACCAGTGTCCGGATGCCAGGGAGTGACAGAAGGGGCATACTGCGCCATATGGGCTTGAGGAGACATCGTCAACTCCGGGTAAGACGGAAGAGGCAACAAACCAGCTGAAGGCGGTGCAGGAGAAACTGCCTGGGCATAAGCAGCCGACCGAATGGCAGGGGGTCGAGGAACAAAATTAGTATCAAAACGGCGTCGACAAGTGGCGGCCGTGTGATTCAAGATGCCGCAAAGCTGACACGTCTCACCCGGAGTGGGAGGGGTGTACCCACGCCGACCACCACCACGACCAGAAACCTGATTGCGCCGGCCGCCACATTGTGAGCGACCAGCACGAGAGGATTGAGGCAGTGTAGGAGAAGGTGGCGACTGCACAAGCATGGCCATGGGCTGAAGGACCGGCTGTTGGGCGTGAAGAAGCACCTCATATGAAACTAACTGTCCAAGGAGATCTTGATAGGAGGGGGGTTCAGATCGTTGTTGCAGAGCTCCGATGATGCCATTGAATTCGGCACCAAGCTTGCGGAAGATTATGGCATTAAACTCCGCAGGAGATATGCGATGGCCGGCAAGCTGCAGTGTATCGGCGATGCCCTTCGCTTTGGAGAGGAGAGCCGTGACCGACAAGTCACCTTTTTGCAAGCTGTGGAGCTCCATAACAAGCTGGGTCTGTTGAGCATAAGAAAGAGTGCTGAAACCCTGCTGAAGAGCTGTCCATGCAGCCGCCGACGTTGTGCAGCCCTGGAGAACGGGAAAAATCACTTCAGCAACGGAAGAAAGAATCCAAGAGAGGACCAACTGATCCTTTTGCTGCCAGATATCAAACTCAGGATTGAGTTGGGGCACGGCATCACTAACGGAAGGAAGAAAACGTGGCGGTGCAGGTTCGGTGCCGTCGACAATACTGGCAACACGAAACATAGTCAATAAAGGAGTAAACTGAAGACGCCAAGACGAATAGTTGGCCCGAGATTGCAGCTTCACAGTAAAGGAATGATTAAGAGACTGTAGACTAGGTTGAAGAAGTGATACGGGTGTCTGTGAAGGAGGTGCCGCCGGCCGGAGGTGGGTAGCCTGGTCGGTGGATGACAGGTCGGTGATAGTCATCGTCGAAAGAAAGCACGCAAAACCGAATAAGGCTCAATTTTTTTTTTTTTCCTCTCATCTTTCCCTGAAGGCTACATTGTGTTCTCAAAATAGTTTTCGTAGAAACATTATATATTTATACCAAAACCCTACTGACTAACCAGGCTAATAATAACCCAACCCTAGCGGGCCTTAGACTTTGAGGAGATATCCCAAAAAATCCTCCCTCGACTCTAAGTCCCACTTCAATGGCATCTTCTGAGAACAAAAGTTGTATCTCTGTCTTCAACTTGAACTCTTCTCTGTGAATGTCAAGCGAATCACAAAACTTGTCTCTTGAACCAACAACTCTTCAATGCTAAACCAAAGGATCCAATAATCTCATACCAACAACTTGTCTCTTGCAAGTTGCTGCCTCACCTTTCTGCTGCAAAGAAGATGGCCAGATCCCAACCAATCCAATCCTCTCCAAATCTCTATAAATAGTCAGCCAATAGCAGTTCAAAAAAAATAAATTGGGTAGTTAGAATCCGTCCAAAGACAATTTAGTTAGTTAAGTTAGTTGGGTAGAAACAGGGTAATAGCAAGAGCAAAGAGTGCAGACTGTCACTCTGTCAACTGGCGAAGGCCACTCGCCAAAGTGAGCAAACAAAACCTGCCCTGCTACCACTTTTCCCTTCTATCCTCTAACCTTTTGATCTTTATCATGACTGAGCTTTTGTACTTTGATGCTCTTATGTTTAACTCAATAAACATGAGTAATTAAACTCAGTCAAGGGTCTAATCCCTACTATCTATATGTGAAAGTTTTGATTTAGTTTCTTATATGAGGCATTGTTTCTGGTTAAGTGTTTAAATTAACCTTTTTATTGAACTGGCCATTTGATTGATTGTGCATACATAGTTATTGAGATCGGAGAGAGGGAATATAACTTTAGAACTGCTTAAACTAGTATGAAAAAGGAGGAAATCTACCATTTGGTTCCAATCATCAACGAAAGTTAGGTGCATTAGCATAGGTGATCTATAAGGCTTAAGAACTCAATGGTTCAGATTTATGAATTACTCTGACTAAGAGGTAGGTAATTTCATTAATCTGAGACTCTTTACTCTGTCTGTGAGGAACTTTAAATAATACAAATGCCTGATAAAACAATAAATCATATGCAACAAGAACTAAAAAGGATCAAAACCGAATCATATAGATAGGAAGTTGATTAGCCCTTCTGCTCCTTCACTATGTCAAGTGAGTTTTATCTCTCTCCTAAGTGACAAATCTTTTCAGCTTATTTTCCTTTGTTTGCACACAAATCAGATTTATAGCGGTTAACTGCCATCTCTGTAGAACTATCCTGCTTAGCACCACCTAATAGTTTTAAGTAGGTTTTTTTTTTTTTTGAGAGTATCAACGGCTCATTCACCAGTAGTATAATTGGATTATTGATAAATTATATTGTTGTAATCTCATTAGATTTGAAGGAGAGTGTTAAAATATGTTGCCCCACATTGCTAGCGTGAAGAGAAGTAGATCTATATAAGTTCTAAGGGCTTCCCAATCCATTGCTAATTGATTTCGAGATTGGAATCTAAAAATATTTATACACTTTCACAACATTAAAAAGATATTACTTTTTAATTGCAGCTCACCCGGTCAAACTATATTCTAAACTTCTATTTCTATCTCTATTTGTTATCCTAGATTTATAGGGGCAACTTGACAGTTTTAAATCCATGGTGAATTGTTTGGAAAATATTCCACTCACGTTAGTGAAATTAATGTTACTTTTTCTGAAATCTGACAGTCATTTCTAGAACAATTTTTTTATGAAACTGGATTATATAGTTTTCTCGGATAAAAGTAGTATAATATTTGACTTAATGCTTCATATATCAAAGGTAGTAATTTTATGTTTTATAATGATGGTACGTAGAAATGGGATAACAAAAGGAATTAATGACGGTCGATATCTTAGGAACATTCTAGAAGTTTGCATGCATGAATCCTGTGTGTACAAGAGTAGATTTTAGTATCATATTCCTCATTCGTCGTACACCCATACTGAAACTCTTGTCATGACTTTGTTTATCATGAAAAGCCATCATGAATGTGCAATAGTATATAGTTTCAGCAGGGCCAATTCCGACATAAGTGAGATCAAAAGTGTCCTGACTTTACGTCATTTGGTTCGAACTCTGAAAATCATACCTATCTAATTCCTCGAACCAACAAGTGTTGTTATGCCTTTGAAAAATAAAACAAATACCAATTGCTAGGATTTCTATAAATACCTAAACACCAAGGTGTAATTTTATCAATTTTGTCTCCATTTCTCACCTCTTGAAGATTTGAACATGAGGTAGGATTCTTCCCAAGACAAAGAAGAGTTCCTATATTCGTTCTGTGCAGTAAAACTCAAATGGCTGATCTACCGGTTATAGATTTAGATGGGATAAATCATCATACTCAACGATCCATCATCGTCAAAGACGTTGCAAAAGCTTGTAAAACTCATGGTTTCTTTCAGGTACTTAAATAGTCTCTGTAAACCATGTTGTACTCTGTCTCATTTTGATAGTCATATTTCTTATAATATTTTAGTTCAACATATATTGTACTACTATCAATCGGGAGGGTTCCCGATGTGATTTTACACAACCAATTCACATTTTGATCATTCTTTTCTCCCTGTATTCACATCATTTACTTGAAATATATGGAGCCAAACTTAAGAAATATGCACATATTAACATGTACTACTTAAACTTTTTAACCTTATAAACTTAACAAGTACAAGAGTTTCACAAACTCTAGCCAATTAGTACTACTTCCCGATATCCGATCTGTACCAGAAAAAACTGAAGGAGTTGGCTGAAGGGCCAACATTAACATCAATAGTTCAAATCTTTAACTCCTTTTTTTTTGTCGAGGGATGGTGGTAAATATGGAAGATTGTCAACCATGCGGTACCCCGAAAAGTTCTGGATGGAGCTTGACGAGTCCAGATCCATGACCGAGATTGGACCGGCCCACTCACCGCAAGAAGAATCCAACTGGGACTCTTAGGGCGGTATGAATCCCTAAAACCTATGAGGATTCGGAATGGTCCAGGGAATCTCATACCTATAAATAGGGTAGCTCATACCGTAATTTAGGTACGCAATCTATAAGCCAAACATATTACTTCCCAAAACTTTCTAGCAATCCCGTTGACTAACTTAAGCATCGGAGTGTCTACCCTCGAGAGACCCCGAGGCTCTGTTTTGCAGGAAACCCTAACCGGAGTTCCACCATTAACTTAAGCAAGGAATTCGACGCGACATACCAACGGAAGGGCGTCGAAGAGAATCCAAATCCCCCGAGCGTCAAGATCCTCGAAGGAGAACAGGGGAAGCCCCCAAGGAATTTTAAGGCACATAATTGCCTTGATTTCAATTGGAATCGAGGGAGCCCTCGAAAAGGTGAGTACAGGCACGACTACGAGCCACGTCGAGGCCGCAACAACACTGAGGGCGATTATGACCAAGGATACCACCACCGCCCTCGATACTCGCCTCCAAGACAGCAACAATATCACGGGCATAGGGAAAATCCTGCGTACTACCGGGAAGACCAGCAAGGAACAAGCGACCAGAACATTTTGATTCGAGAAGAAATGAGGAAAATCATCGGGATAGGGCTGGACCGAAGCCCCTTCATCCCCGGCATTCGAGATGAACCTAAGCCCCGAGACTTCGATTTCTCTAAAGAATTCAAGCCGTATTCAGGAGATACGGATGTCTCCCAATGGCTGCAAGGATATGTTCAAGTCATGAGAATCCGAAACGCAAACATGAACTTCATGGCAAAGGCGCTGCCTTCCTACTTATCCGGATCAGCACAGCGGTGGTTTGGGCAACTACCAGAAGGAAGCGTCACTAGCTTTGAAGATTTATCCGTCAAACTAGCTACTCGTTTCTTCCACAGCAAACGGATATTGGGGATGTCCATCGACCTTTCTTCGATCAGACAAGGACAGCATGAGAGTCTAACTGACTTTCACAGACGATTCATACAAGAGACCTTGCGAGTCGACAACATTGACGATCGAGACGTTTGCAACGGATTCATCCAAGGTCTCAACCCCTTCGGAAAATCCTCAATGTTGCGAGTTAAGCTCTCGACAAAACCCCCTAGGAATGCACAGGAGATGTGGGCTATTGTCGAGAACCATATACAGCGAGAACACACGCTCAAAAGGTCCCAAGAATCCTTCGCCTCGGTAGGCCCCAAAGAAAAACCAAAAATCCCCCAGGAAGGCAGGCCGGCACTGCCCAAGATGGATAGGCAATTAACGCCCTTAACCAAGCTCCGACGAGAAATCCTCCAGATCCATAGGGACGAACTACCGACTCCGAAACCCTTGGCCCCTAATCCAAATAGATCAACTGAACAATACTGTGAGTATCATAAAGATCACGGCCACGACATGGAGGATTGTCGAGAGCTCAAGCGTGAAATCGAGAACGGGGTCAAATCTGGGAAATTTCATCAATATGTGCAGGGAACAGCTTCCCGACAGAAGAATAACAGACCCCAATCACGAGATCACCCAAAAAGAAATTTCAGAGGCCCTCCACGGCGAGATGGCCGAGGAAATAATTGGCAACCAAAAATCAATGCCCACCACAGCAGCATTATCCCGTCGCTGAACCAACGCCACAGCCATTGCAGCAACTCCCCCTGACGGATCCAACAGGTAGGAGCCATTTATGGAGCTCCCCTCGAAGTCTTATCCACGACAGCCATGAAAAACTCATTGCGAACTGTCACCAAAACCCCTCGACAAGAACCTAGCCACAAGAGATTCAAAGGAACAGACATTTGTCCCCACAGTGACGCTATGGTCATAGAAGCAATAATCGCAAACGTAAAAGTCGGAAGGGTTTACGTGGACAATGGCAACGCGGTCGATATCATATATAGTGATTGCTTCAAGAAGATGAACATCAAAAACCCTTGCATCCGCCCAGCTACAATACCGCTAATGGGATTCTCAGGACACACCATTATCCCCACAGGAATAATTAGCCTACCCATCTCGGTAGGGTCGCATCCTAGGACAGTCACTTTGACCATGGATTTCGCCCTAATAGATGTACCCTCGCCGTTTAATGTGATCCTAGGGCTACCTTGGATGGTCCAAGCACGCGCGGTATGGTCTCCCTATCACTTGGTAATGAAATTCCCGACGGAATATGGAGTAGGAGTAGTAAAAGGATGCCAGGTGAGTTCTCGAGAATGCTTGCTCACTGCAGTCAGAATTGGAAAGAAAACTGCATACCTTGACCCAGGGTCCGCCGTGTCAGAATGCTATTCGATTTGACAAACGGTCAACCCACCAGAGGTAGAAGACACTGAGACACCCAGCCTTCCCTCGTTCAGTAGCAAGACGCGAGGGTTAGTCATGAACGAGTATGATCCCACTAAGACTGTCCAAATCGGGGTTTCTCTACAAGACCCCTTGCTAACCGAGATCAGCGCCTTGCTACGAGAGTTCCAGGACATATTCGCCTGGGCCCCGGCGGATATGACAGGAGTCCCTCGAGAAGTCATAGAACATAGGTTAAATGTTAACCCAAATGACAAACCAGTATAACAGAAGAAAAGAGTATTCGCTCGAGAATGTAACGATGTCATCAACGAAGAAACGATGAAGCTAGTCCGAGCCAACATACTCCGGGAAGTCTTATGGCCTACGTGGCTAGCCAATCCGGTCTTAGTGTGAAAACCGGACAATTCCTGGCGTATGTGCTAGGACTACACGGACCTCAATAAACATTGCCCCAAGGACTGCTACCCTCTACCAGTCATAGATCAAATGGTGGAAGGTATTGGTGGGTATAGAGTCCTAAGCTTCCTCGACGCCTACAAGGGATATCACCAAATCCTCATAGCACAGGAAGATGCAGAAAAGACAGCTTACATCACCAAGATAGGAGTATATTGCTACGACAAGATGCCCTTTGGACTAAAAAATGCTGGAGCCACATATCAACGTCTTGTGAACAGAGTCTTCCATGACCAGATCGGCCGGAACATCGAGATTTATGTGGACGACATGGTGATAAAAACCAATAAGGATGAGCAAGTAGCCGCAGACATGCGGGAGATTTTCACAATACTACGCAAGGTTAACATGAAGCTGAACCCTAAAAAATGCACCTTCTGTGTAGGATCAGGAAAATTCCTAGGATACCAAGTCTCCAAGGCTGGAATAAGTATTGATCCGGCTAAAATCGAGGCTATCTTAGCCATGGAATCTCCAAAAACCATCAAGGAAGTTCAGAAACTCACAGGCTCCTTGGCGGCCCTAAACAGGTTTCTATCTCGAGCCGCAGAAAGAAGCCTCCCATTTTTCCATACCCTCCACAAAGGCAGAAAATTCGAGTGGAATAAAGAATGCCAGAAAGCCTACCAAGACCTAAAAGAACACCTCAAGCAGTTGCCCATGTTAGCTAAGCCTGAACCAGGAGAAACACTATACATTTACCTAGCAGCCCGAGAGAAAACTGTCTTAGCGGTCCTCGTACAGCACAAAGACGACAAAGAAGTCCCCGTCTATTTCGTTAGCAAAGTCTTGCAAGGAGCAGAAACCCGCTATACACCCATGGAAAGGCTTATCCTCAGCCTAGTCTTGGCCGCACGACATCTGCGCCCATACTTCCAGGCACACCCCATCATGGTTTTAACGGAACAACCAATTTAGCAAGTCCTGCTAAAACCAGAAGCGTCCGGCAGGATGATGAAATGGGCAGTCAAATTAGGCGAGCACCATATCAAATACAAGCCTCAATCAGCCATCAAAGGGCAAGCCTTTGCCAATTTTTTAGTAGAAACACCTCGAGCCATCGAAGTCAAAGGAATAGCAGAACCTAAAGATGACCCCACTACTCGCGTCCACATCAATCCTCGAGCATGGTCACTATATGTCAATGGATCGCGTTGCGATGAAGGGGGAGGAGCCGGCATCATATTATCCAAACCTCCGCCGATCCCTACATCGAGAACATGAAAGAATACGACGCGGAATATACATATGCGTTGAGATTCGGTTTCTCGGTCACCAATAATGTAGCAGAATACGAGGCACTGATAGTAGGGTTAAACATGGCACTAAAACTTGGTGTCGGTAAAATACAGGTTTTCAGTGATTCTCAAGTAGTAGTGAAACAAATATTGGGAGAATACACGGCAAACGACGAGCAACTCAAGCGCTACCTCGAGAAGGTCCTCCACATCAAGGACAAATTCGAGGAATGCACCGTATGCCACATAGTCCGCTCGAAGAACAAAAGAGCCGACGCCCTCAGTAAGCTGGCCTCCTCGAACTTTGCACACCTCAGCCACAAAGTATGGGTCGAGGTTCTCCCCACTCCCAGTATCCAGGATGTCCCCGCAGTGACCATCGTCGAGGACGGCGACACTTGGATAACCCCTTACATCCAATACCTTACAGATGGGACGTTGCCGAGTGGAAAAGCAGACGCAAGGATCCTCCGACTAAAAGCGGCCAAATACACATTGCGAGACGACATCCTATACAAGCATGGATACCTGCAACCCATGCTAAGGTGTATCGGCCCAAAGCAAGCAGCTTACGTACTCGAAGAAGTACACGAAGGATCATGTGGAGCTCATACGGGAGCAAGAGCACTCGCCAAGAAGGCCTTGCGAACAGGATATTTCTGGCCGACAATCTTTAAGGATGCCTACCAATGGGTACAAAAATGTGAGAAATGTCAGCGCTTCTCCCCCGTCACCCGACAGCCACAGCACGAAATGGTCACCATCCAAAGCCTTTGGCCATTTTACCAATGGGGCACTGATATCATCAGCCGCTTACTTCCGGAAGGAATAGAAGGAGTAAGATGGGTCATTGTAGCAGTAGATTACTTCACTAAATTGGTAGAAGCCAAACCCTTGGCCTCGATCACTGGGAGAAAGATCTTGGATTTTTTCTAGCAGAGCATAGCATGCCGCTTTGGGGTCCCGAAGATCATCGTCTCCGATAATGGGACCCAGTTCGAGAGCAATACTTTGAAATCCTGGTGCGACGAAATGCAGATCGAACGCCGCTTCTCAAGCGTAGCCCATCCCCAAGCCAACGGGCAGGCCGAGTCCATCAACAGAACAATACTGCATGGAATCAAGACCAGGTTGTACGACGCTAAGGGGGCATGGGCCGACGAACTCCCCTACGTCTTGTGGGCATACCGGACAACTGCCCACTCTTCGACCGACGAGACGCCATACAGCTTAGTCTACGGTATGGACGCCGTCCTCCCTGTCGAGATCGGCCTGTCGAGGCCTCGAACTGCAAACTTTGTCGCAAGTACCAATGATGATGACATCCGATTAAACCTTGACCTGCTCAAGGAACGTCGAGACGCCGTCAGAATCCAAGAGGCCAAGTATAAAGAGACTCTTCGAAGACATTACAGCAAGAAGGTGAAAGCCACGGATCTCGCTGTGAGTGACCTCGTACTGAGAAAAAACGAGGCCAGTCGGGCAGAAGCCCCTGGAAAACTTACTGCAAATTGGGAAGGACCTTACAAGGTTATCCAGGCTTCCTCAGCAGGCTGCTACCGCCTACAAACCATGGACGATAGGGGAACCATCCTTCCTCGATGGTGGAACATCCAGAATCTTTGCAGGTTCTATGTTTAAGCCCTTGTCTGTTATTTGTCCTTTGTGTGTTTTACTTACTTTACTCAGTCAATCTTATACTCTCATATGTAATGCTAACCCGGGTCCTCAGGTAATTATTCAATAAAAGACATTACATATTCTCCCCAATTATGGCGACGCATTTATGACTTGTCATCGAGATGGACTCCCTCTTTAGGGCCATCCTCGATCAAGAGCCGTGTACTCAACATCCGGACACAAACTTGAGGAACTTTCCTCATGCGTATTGCAAAACACAATATCAAGTAAAGGAATTCGTACCCAATTCCTATGATAGAGCCGTGTACTCTACATCCGGCCTAAAAAGCGCTTTAAACATCAATACTCGAGTAAAATAAACATTCGTTCCACATGGCTGTGCGAACTCACTGAAAAGTACATACTTTCTACACTATTACAAGCACCTCCCTGACAGGATTGTTGGGGGAGGGATGAATAATCCCCTTATACCCGTGCAGGCTAAGGAGATTCACGCATTGATTCAATTTGTCCTTGAGGTCCACGATCTCTGTATCCTGAGCGTGCACCCTCATCAACAACTCCTCTCGAGAACTCCGGGTTCGAGGATCTACTATCTCCTCCGGACGCTCGAAAGCCTCGAAGTCGATGTTGTTATCCAGCAGAAGATTTTGAAGTTGAGCAACATAATCTGTAAGAAGCTCGATTTCATGAGACCTCTCTCTCAATATGTCCATGGCTGCGATAAAGCGACGAGTCCTGACCACAATCATGTGCTGGACTCGAGCTAACACCTGGTGCTTCTCAAGAAACCAAGGAGACACAGTAATCTGCTGTCTTGCCCTAAGCCGAGCATTTTCCTTCTCCATGGTCACCAGCTCGTCATGAATCTCGGCCTCAAAAGTCAAAGAATCGATGTGGTCTCTTAGGCTTTGAACCTCTCGATGCTGCATCTCTTCATGGAGTCCTTTGATCTCGTTTATCAGATGTTGGTTAACCTTCACGCTGTGCGTCCTCATGGCATCGAGCAGGTCATTC